CATTTAAAAGGATCGTGAAAGTAAGAGAAAATTACGAAACAGTGTTGCTTGTACTGATTTTTAGGGAATATTTTGATCGTCGTGTGAGATAAGTAACGATGAATTTCGTCCATTACACGAGTTTTATGCACGACTATTTTTTTATTTTATTGCATCGTCGACGTAATGACTCGGATGGTATCGATGATTTTGCACAAATTTCTGAGTTATTCGAATCGTATTATTTGACTGATTTTCATTGGTATTTAGTATTTTGATGAATTTCGCATTTGTTGCTCGTGCTTTTTCAGAAAAATAAGTAAAACTGTGCATTATGATATGAGTATTCTTGTATTTAGTTTTTATTAATAATATTAATATTATTCTTGTAAATTATTGCTGTTAATATTAATATTATTACTGTACAATGTTTATTTCGGTAAATAAATTAATATTTGCAAATTAAATTCAATTTTTGAAGCATTGATTCATCTTTTATTTGTGTGCCAGCCATAAGGCGATTTTCCATAGAACACACTAGCGCCACCGTGGCTCTTACTTACTATCTGTACTATAGATATCGTATGTATCGTTGATTTGTTTTTCAGTTCTACTGATGCTGTTATTGTTCATGGTATAAAATATATAAATGAGACCTAAATACTTTTGAATTATTAATTGTTTAATTGTTATAGAGCATGCTGTAAAATAGCAATCTTGCCAGCTGATAATTAATTATTAAAATTTTACGATGTGTCAAAAAATATATCACACATTTTGTTCATATAGTATTAGAGGTAGAGAGACATAAAGAAGAAAACATAATTTCGACATAGTTTCCTAAATTAGGTTAAATAATTAACAGCAAACTTCATGTGCTCCTAAGTACAACTTACCTTCGATTATGACAATTTAATTTCAGTATATCACATAATAGACGCCTGGCTTTTTTTAAAATGTAAAAATTATTTTATTATTAATAAATAGGTCTTGAAAATATTCAGTCAATAATATTCAAAAATCCCTTTGTTATTAAGTTTCAATAATATTGAAAAATATTCAACTAAAAATATTCAAAAATCCTTTTGTTATTAATCAGTAATATTGCAAAATAAAATATTAAAAAATTCATTTGTTATTAATCAATAATATTGAAAAATATTGAAAAATCTTTTTGCTATTAACCAATAATATTGGCAAATATTCAGCCAACAATATTCAAAAATCCTTTCATTATTAATCAATAATATTGGAAAATAAAAACTTTGAAAATACTTTCGTTATTAACCAATAATATTTCAAAATAGAATATTCCAAAATACATTTGTTATTAATCAATAATATTGAAAAATATTAATAAATCTGTTCGTTATTAACCAATAATATTAACAAATATTTAGCCAAAAATATTAAAAAATTCTTTTATTATTAACCACTAATATTGAAAAATATTCAGCTAAAAATATTCAAAAATCCTTTCGTTATTAACCAATAATATTGGAAAATAAAAACTTTGAAAATCCTTTCGTTATTGACCAATAATATTTCAAAAGAAAATATTCCAAAATCCATTTGTTATTAATCAATAATATTGAAAAATATTCAACCAAAAATATTAAAAAATCTGTTTATTATTAACCAATAATATTAGCAAATATTCAGCCAAAAATATTAAAAAATCCTTTTATTATTAACCACTAATATTGAAAAATATTCAGCTAAAAATATTTGAAAACCCTTCTGTTATTTACCAATAACATTGGAAAATAAAATATTCAAAAATCCATTTGTTATTAACCAATAATATTGGAAAATATTGAAAAATCTTTTTGCTATTAACCAATAATATTGGCAAATATTCAGCCAACAATATTCAAAAATCCTTTCATTATTAATCAATAATATTGGAAAATAAAATATTCAAAAATCCATTTGTTATTAATCAATAATATTGGAAAATAAAATATTCCAAAATCCATTTGTTGCCAAGCAATAATATTAAAAAATATTCAGCTAAAAATATTTAAAAACCCTTTTGTTATTAACCAATAATATTGGAAAGCATTCCATCATTACCCAATAATTATTACCCAATAATACTTCAAAATATTCAACAAAAAATAACAGAACCCACGCAATAAACAATTTCCATAACATCTCGTTAATAATTGGGCCTTCGACAAACGGAACTTTAATTTCGCCACTTTCAGCCTTTCTTATTTCTACTCCTCAATTTATGGCCGCCATATATCATACCTTCGCAACCCGGAAACTCATTCATGCCTCATTTTCGCCCTCTTCTCTCGTTTTCCTGCCCCCCTCCTCGGCCTCTTTTTTTTACCCCCGTGTACAAGATCCGTTGTCGATCGATCGATAACGATGATCGAACCCGAGGCAACGGGTAGCCGTGTCCCTGATCGTATCGACGATGCATTAAGCCGCCAGAGTTATTTTAATTGATCGGTTCGCGCGTCGTTCGTCTTCATTCCGCAGCCAACATGGCGGCCGGGGGACGCCATGTTCGATTTCACCGATTTCGCGCGGATAATTCGATTACGAACCGATCGTCATTGCCGATTCTGCAAAAATCACCGAGTCATTTTACCGGCCACACCCTGTCCAGGAGAAAACGCTTTAATTGATTGAGTTGTTGGGATTTTTCTCATTTTTTCACGGGTTCCTTATCGATCCCGGGATCATGGGGGTACCTGTACAGGAGATACAGTCCTCTCAATGGATAGGTTATCCATTGGTAGATGACGTCTCGTGGAACGAAGAGTTCGCCCAGGTTTTTACTCGCGGATCGAGAGAAATTTGTCGATGATGATGATGGTCATTCGTAATGCTTTAGCTCGTCGTGTTTTTACTCTTGGACGAGTAAAAGTCAGCTTTTTCTCGGAGGTAGACAGTTGGTTTTAAGGTTAGGTTTAGGAGGAAATTGCGAGGCTCGTTTTCGATCGTGATCATTTGGGTTAGGTGTTAGAAGGACGGTTATTAGTATAGTGCAATTCGCGTTGCATTGAGTTCTTGCGAGTTTTTGTTTATGTCACGTAGGTTAGGTGCACTCCGGGTTGTTAGAAGTAACAGGTTTGCTTGGTACGTTTGAGTATAGTCTGTCTTGGGATGTTTGTAAGACTGGAATAAATATTGTTGCTAAGATAAAATGAATAAAATGTGCTTGGGAAACAAAGGGGGAATTTTTGTTTTAGCAAATTATTAAGTTTAAATTAAATTAGGGAGAAGTTAGGTTGATTAATAAATAATATCGGATTTTGTGAAATATAAGAGTATTAAAAATGTTGAATATGAATAATGAAATTGAACTAAAAGAGAAATTAGATTGATTAATAAATAATATCGGATTTTGTGAAATATGAGGGTATTAAATGTTGAATATGAATAATTAAATTACATTGAAAGGGAAATTAGATTGATTAATAAATAATCTCGGATTTGGTGAAATATAAGAGTATTAAAAGTGTTGGAGATGAATAATTAAAGTAAATTGAAAGAGAAATTAGATTGAGTAATAAGTAATATCGAATTTTGTGAAATATGAGAATATTAAAAGTGTTGAACACGAATAATTAAATGTAGAAAATTGGTGTATTGAAAATTTGTATCTAATAGTTTAAGAAAAGGAACTAGTCTGTACCCCGATACCTTCATTATCAGTTGCCACGTGCAGTAAAACACCACAATACCACCCAATTTTATTCTACTGTTTCTTATAATATCTCAAAAATAATAAAAAAAATAACTGAACACTAAATTGACAAATAATTATTTATTTCCATCTAGTAATTAAAGGAAAAGAACTATTTTCAACGAAGATACCTTGATTATCAGTAAAACACAATGGCACCAAATCTCACTATACTGTCTCCAAAAATATCTCAAAAATAATAAAAACCTTAACTGAACACTAAAAAGTGACGAAGACTGAACATTGACGAAAAATTGAATAATTGAAAAGTGACGAATAATTATTTAATTATAATAATTAATTAA